AAGCTACACAGAGAAACCCTGCCTGGAAAACAAAAACAATTAATTTATTTATTTATTTATTTACTTACTTACTTACTTACTTACTTACTTACTTACTTACTTACTTATTTGTATGAGTGCCTGAGTGTGCCACGGCACACCTTTGGAGGTCAGAAGACAACTTTTGGGAATCAATTTTCTCCTTCCACCATGTGGGCCCCAGGAGTATTGCCAGCAGGTACCTTAACCCACTGAGCTATCTCACTGATTATTATTTTGCTGTGGAGGCAGGCCTTAGCCTTGAGCTTGCTAGCCTACTCCTCTACCTTTGAAATACTCTGTCAGCTTCATCTGTACTCCCTTCCCTTCTCTTTGCTTCTCCTCTCCTCCCCCAGCCCCTTTTTTCCTGAGGCAGGATCTCCTATATTCCAAGTCAGCCAGGAACCATGACCTTGAACTTCTGATATTCCTCTGGAATGCTGAAATTACTGGCGCAGGTTTATTCCATGCTGGGGACTGAACCCAGGGCCTTGGGCATGCTAAAGAAGCACTGTGCTAACTGAGCCACAGCCTCATCTCCTTTTCTTTTCTAAAGAAAGGGTCTCCCTGCGTAGCCCTGGCTGGCCTGGAACTCACTCTGTAGACCAGGCTGGCCTCAAACTCCCAGAGATCCGCCTGCCTCTGCCTCCCCTTGTGGGACTGCCCCTCCCTTTAGAGACTCCTTACATCTATTCTTTGACAATTCATACATGTAAACACTGTATTTGCTCATATCCAGCCCTAGCTCTCACTCTCCAGACTTCCCCATGGACTCCCCTTCTCGCTCCTTTTTTGAAGACTTTTTATTTATTTATTTTTTTGGTATGGTACAGGCTGGTGTCAGTTTCACCATGTAGGCCAGGCTGGTTTCAAAGTTGTTACCCTCTTTAGTGTCTCGGTCTTTTGAGTGATAGAATTACATGTAGGAACCACCTAGTCTGGTTTCCATTTTTAAAAGATGTATATGGATTACTTGTGAAATGATGTAAACCCCAACAGGTCATTAAAAACAGAAACCGGCCACTAGAAGCACAAGCAGTGGAGTGTGTCAAATTCATTACATGGCTGAGGATGACCCTGAACTTGTGACTCTCCTGTTTTTATCTTCAGATTGCCAGCATCATAGGACAGCACCACCATTGGACAGGACTTTGTACATGCTAGGCAAGCACAATATTAACTGAGCTATATCACCAACCTCATAAAATTGATTCCACTAAAAGGATTCTCTGTGACTGTCTGTCAGCTCAAGTCTCATTATGTAGCCCTGGCTGGCTGTGAACTCATAAGGTCCACCAGCCTTGGCATGCTGACTACTGGAATTAAAAATGTGTGCCACCACCATGCATGGCCATATCTATTTTTCTAAAAGATTTTTTAATAAAAAAATTGGGTGTGTAGATGTTTTGCTTGCATGTATGTCTGTGTGCCTAGTGCCTGAGTTGGCAAGAAGAGGGCATTAGATCCCCTGGAAATGAAGTTGTGGACAGTTGTGAACCGTTATATAGGTCTGAAAAGCAAGCCTGGGTACTCTGAAGAACAGCAGGGCTTTCTTGTTTTGTTTTGTTTTGTTTTGTTTTGACAGGCCTCTCTGGGTAGCCCTGGCTGTCCTGGAACTCACAGTGTAGCTGGCCTGGCCTTGAGCTTACAGAGAATCTCCCATCTTACTTCTGAGTGCTGGGATTAAAGGCATGGGCTATCATACTTGGTACAGCCAGCGTTCTTAACTTCTTTGTCCTCTCCCAGCTCCTGTTTTATTTTATTTTTTATCATCATAATAATCTTTTTTTTTTTTTTTTTTTTTTTTTTTGAGATAGGTTTCTCTGTGTAGCCCTGGCTGTCCTGGAACTCACTCTGCAGACCAGGCTGGCCTCAAACTCTGATCTGTCTACTTCTGCCTCTCAAGTGCCGGGATTAAAGGTTTCTGCCATCATTGCCCAGATCATATTGTTTTTTGGTTTTTTTTAGTATCTTTTATTTTATGAGTGTTTTGCCTACATGTTTTTCTGCCCACTACAGTTAGATGCCTAAGAACAAGAGTTACAGATGGTTGTGAGCCACCATGTAGATGCTGGGAATTGAACCCAAGTCCTCTAGAGGACAAGCCAATGCTATTAACTACTGAACCTCACCCATTTTATTTTTAAATTATGTGTATGTGTTAGTGTATTGGTACCTGCATGAGAGTGCAGGTGCCAAGGAGCCCAGCAGAGGGCATCAGATTCCCCTGGAGCTAGATTTATAGGTTGTTGTCAGCTACCCTACTTGGGTCCTGGAAATTTAATTCAAGGTCTGTGTAAGAGCACTAAATGCTCTTAATCACTGAGCCATTTCTCTAGCCCCCATCATATCTATTTTCATTTCTGGCTCTCACTTTTGAGATTCAGAACTACCTGTCTTACTTGGACACCATCCCAGGAACTTTAAATAGAGCATTTTGCAGATTAGCCTGGAGTCTAGCACCTAGAAAGTCTTCTATAAAAATGAACTATTACTGATCATAAACCTTATATTTTAGTTCCTGCTGTGTGATCTACTTCCTTCCAATGCTCCTCCGTGGGGTCTCCAAATCATTTATTTACTGGCAGCATCTTTGGTCCCGGGTTATTTGTTGTCTCGGCAGGAAGCCCAAGGAAGAATCCAACCTGGTTCTCCCACCTGCAGGGAAGAACTGAAGCAATAAAAATGAAAATAATCCCGTGCCAAGCCCACAGTACTCCAAAGGATCACTGTGTTGGTGGCAGCCTCTCTGGTAGGTCCAGGCAACAATTACCCAGCCCTGTCTCTTATGATATTCGCATACCTACAAATCCTTATACGTTGTTTGTTAGTCCCATTCCCAGTCCATATTTTTTTGAAGCTGCAGCAGGAGAACAGAGAAGGTTTACCTAGCGTAGCACACTGGTAAAACCAGCAGTTCTGGGCTAGAGCTAGTTTTGTAGTTTTGTAGATCTGAGTCAAGTATAAGATGCTATTATGCTGGGCCTCAGTTTTGTCATTTTCAGAGTAAGGAGAATGCTAATAGAGCACTTAAGGAGTAAATTTATAATCATCATCATCATCATCATCATCATCATCATTTATGGGGTGCTTATTGTTTATTTAAAATACACTCAGTGGTCTCTGTTATACCATGAGATTGAGTTAAAAACAGAATTTAAGCTGGGTAGGGAGTGGAGGGGTTGTGGGGTGGTATTCACCTTTGTTCTAGCACTTAGGAGGCAGAGGCTGGGGACCTCTGTGAATTTGAGGTTGGTCCGGTCTAGATATGCAGTTCCTGGACAGCCAGGACTACATAAAGAGATCCTGGACCCCACCACACAAAAACTAAACAAGGACAACAAAATAAAAACAAACCCTCCTCCACAAAAGAAGTCAAGCCAGAGCTGTAGGGTGTGTATTTTTGTTTGTTTTGTTTTGTGTTTTCAACACAGGGTTTCTCTGTGAGGTCTTGGCTGTCCTGTCCTGGAACTCATTGTGTAGACCAGGCTAGCCTCAAATTTATATAGATCCTCCTGCCTCTGCCTCCCCAGTAGTAGTAGGATTAAAGGTGTGTGCCACCACACATGGCCAGGGCTGTAAATTTAAGAGATTTGAGGGGCTGAGGCAGAGGGCATGCTTGAGTCCAGGGGTTCCAGGACACCCCAGATAACATAGGGAGATCGTGTCTCAACAAACAAACAAACAAACAAACAAAGGATAGAAAGATGGCTCAGTGCTTAAAAGTAATGACTGCTTTTGTAGAGGACCCAGGTCAACTTTCTCCCACCCACTGGCTAACAACGGCCTGAACTCTGGTTTCATCGGATCTGGAACCCTCTTCGGGCATAAGTGCCAGGTAGACATGCAAGGTACACATATGCTGCAAAATATTTATTTGCATATCATGAAAATTGTGGTGGTTTGAGTAAGAATGGCTCCCACCAGGTCACATATTTGAATGCTTAGTCACTGTTTGAAAGTGGCACTCTGAAAGAATTAGAAGGATTAGGAGGTGTGGCCTTGTTGGAGGAGGGGTTTTGAAGCCTCAAAAGCCCGTAGTGGTTGTCTCCCTTTCTAACATTTCTGTTCAGGATCTAGCTCTCAGCCACTGCCCCACCATGCTCCCCACCCTGATGATAACGGAGTAAGCTTTTGAAAAAAGAAAGCTTTCTTTTGTAAGAGGTGCTGTGGTCAGGATGGTCTCTTCCGCTACAGTGACCGGAACACGATCTCTAAAACAAACAAAAACTCTAGGTACAAGTGCTACCCATATGTAGTTTGAAGAGCAAGCCAACGAACAAAATCACAGAAGATCAAATGAAAGTAGCGTTTTCACTTTCCCCTCTGACGGACAGCTAGCCCGGTTTCAGAGGACCCTAACGAGCATCACACGCCTTCCTAAAGCTCTCCGTATGTATTAGACAAGCTTCAGTGCTTCGTAATGCAAGAACAGTCGCGACTCCTGTGCTGATTCTCTTTTTAATGTTCTTAAAAAAAAATAAGAAGAAGCTGAGGATCAGGCAGGTAAGTCGGGGCAACTTAAGAGGCCTCGCAACCTATTTTTAAAGTCTGGGAAACACAGCTCAGTACACGTAATTAAGCGCCAGGGAGGAATTTTGGCCGGGTGTCCCAAACACGACGGATGCTCTGGGGCGACGCACTGTAACCGACCGCGGAGGCACCTCGTGCGGTGCTGCCCTGGCCTCCACAGGTTTCCCGGGAAAGGCGCCGCCTGCGCCTTCTCAACCAGTCTTGCTGGAGTAGGCGTATCCTTTACGAACAAAAGCGTTCGGAGTGACCGCCGCTACAGCCACTCAACGCCGAGTACAGACCCGCGCCCCTGGCCCAGTGCAACTTCCAATTGGTGGAGCGGATCTAGAGGGCGGGACGGAGGGTAAATCCCGCCCCTTTCGTCGTTCCAGCCAATCAGAGCGTGTGGTGGATGGGTTAGGTTGCATCCGTGTGTAGCGTTCTGGGAGGCCCGAGGGCGGGGCGGGGACCCGGCGGGTCGCTGTGGTGGGGGTTGGTAGAGGACGCTTCTCGAGGGCGCGCGGAGCCCGGCCGGTGACAGACACGCACGCGCGCGGGCGCTCCCGGCTACTGCGCGGCCCCGCGACCCCCGTCGGCCGCCGAGAGGCGCGGCGTCCGCACCGCAGCCGTCGAGGGTTCCTGTCCAGGGGCGTCCCCCGGCGCCGGGCCGCACCCGCTTCTCCCGGCGTCCTGTCCCCGCCGTCGTCAGACAGTGCCCCTTCACTCACCTTTCCGTCCCCGGGCCGGGTCCTCGCGGCCCATGCTGGCCGCTGGGGACCCACGCCGCCTAGCTCCGCCTCGGGCCGGCCCGCCGGCCACCATGGTGGTCCTGAGGCCTGTGCAGCTCCTCCAGGGGGGCTAAAAGACCCCGAACGCGCTCCCAGGGGTGAGAGGGTCCCAGGCCGGTGACCCCGCGCCATGGCCGGAGCCATCGCTTCCCGCATGAGCTTCAGCTCGCTCAAGAGGAAGCAGCCCAAGACCTTCACCGTGCGGATCGTCACCATGGACGCCGAGATGGAGTTCAACTGCGAGGTAACTGGCTGCCAGCCCCGACGGGCTGGGAGCGAGAGCGGAGAGCCGGGGAATCCCCGCCTGGCCGGCCGGGGCGCGCGTCCCCATCCGCGGGGTGCCCTCGCCGCGCTGACAGCCGAGGTGGAAGCTCGGGGGATTCTGTATATATCGTTTTCTGGAACCGGAATGGGCTTTCTAGGCCCAGATCACAAGTTAAAGCTGTTCGGCCCCTCCCTCCCCCCGCCCGGTTTTTAAAAACTTGGGTCTCTTGGTTTTTGGCACGACGTCCTGAAAGCTATTTTCATTCATTTTCGATTGGAAAACACGGGGATCTTCCGTGGTGACGAACCGGTTTACAGTGTGTAGGACTTGAGCTTCGAACTCCAGGGAGTTGTTCACTAGGTGTTACTATGCACCCTGCATCTTAAAAGTTGTATCTAGTTTAATTGAAAGTTTGTACTTTTCTCTGTTCCAAACTTTAAAGTTTACTTTCCGTAGTTTCAAACATGATGATGATAGCTATCAGTTGTTGAAGAGTGTGTCTGTGTGTGTGTGTGTTATCCGTCACTGGGTTATATCTATAGCCCTGAACACTTGCGAAGTGTTATTTACACATTTAACTCGAAAACCAACCAACCAAAACCCCAAAATAACAAAAAACTAGTTAGGTAGGTACCTGTGACAATGGAATCTACTTGATCTGGTTTTCTGGCTTATTGCTTCTAAAATCCTTGGAATCTCCAATGTATTAAGTTTCTTTTTTGTGTGCTAATGAGTTGGCTGCTGTTGCCAAGTTATAGTAGTTTTCGGATGCAGCCTGGTTGCCAGAAAGGCTTAGTTAGTGTCCTTAAGGTTACGGCTTCTCAATTCTTCCAAGATGGGACAGAAGGTTAAATTGATTGCCAGCGGCCAGTGATTTAATCAATAATGCCTATATAATTAAGCTTCCATAAAGCCCTGAAAGCATGGGGGTTAGAGAGACTCCATCTGAGTGTGTGCATGGGGAATGGGAGTGCAGGCTCTGCACCCTTTCCCGAATGCCTTACCTTACACTTTTGAAGATCTTGTAGTATCTTGTCCCCCTTGTGCTATCTTTGGTTAAAAATAAAAATAGGTAAACATGAGTGCTGTGAGGTGCTTTACTAAATTATCTGAACCCACAGAGGGAGTTGTGGCAGAAGCATGTGATTGGCACTTATCTCTGAGAGATTTAGCATTCCAAGTAGAGTGTGTCAGACCTGAATTGCATTAAAGGCTACTTAATTGGTATGTAACGGCAGAAAGAATTGGTTGGTTGGTTGATGGTGGAGAAACCTCCCCCATCATGTTTGGGTTTTTTATTTGTTTGTTTTCCTGGAACTCTGTCTGTAGACCAGGCTTGGCCTTGAACTCAAAAGATCCGACTGCCTCTGCCTCCTAAGTGCTGGGATTAAAGGCGTGCAACACACACACACCTCTTTGTTTTTTGGGTAGGTGAGACATTTTGGGTCGGGTGCATCAGCACAAACCTGTAAACACAGCAATTGGGAGACCGGGGCCAGAGGGCGGTGAGAGTTGAAGTTCAGCCTGGGCTTCAGAAGGTGGCAAAGGCTCTTCAGCAGATGGGGGAGAAAAACTTAAATTTTCCTTCTTACATATGCATAGTGCCTCAAGATTTTGAACTTCAGACCAAGCTTTTAGTCAGTATGATACTGGCTCTTAAGCAATTTAGTCCTTGCTACCCAGAGTGTTGATTCTTGGCCAGCAGCTTTCGTAGCAGTGACAGTAAGTCAGGAGTTAGCAAATTGTTTCTACACATGCCTCCATAGTCAATCATTTCAGCTTTACAGGCCTTAGAGACTCTGTTGGAAAGACTCCGCTTTTTAGCTTTGCCCTTAGATAGGATTGACTTAAGCATGACCATGTCAGGACTCCACTGACATAGTCTATTCCAAAACTGGTGAAAATTCTTTTGAAAATATCATTTGGAAATAGTTCTAAGGGTTGAACAGCAAATGCTACAACAGGAAATTGATGAAAATTGAATAAGGTGAGAGGCAGTGGTGTGACTCAGTGCTGCTGAGGCTTAAGTCCTAGGACGGCAAGCTTGGATGATGGGGCCTCCTTTTATCCCTACTTGTGGAACCGGGTGTGGCAGGCTGAGATAATTTAGGAACTAACTGCTCTTGCCCCAGCTTTGACTTGTGAGGTGGTGTTTGACCGCAGGGAAGGCAAGTTGAAACCTCTACCCACTGTGTTTTTCCACCAAAGACTCAGTCCTAAGGGAACAACTCAGAGAAAAGCTTGCATTATTCCCTTTCCCATTTCTAGAATCCTGGCTCACAGATTTTTGCCTGAGGAGTGGAGGGAGCAGGACTTAAAACAGGACTAGGGTTATAGCTCTGATAGAGCACACACAGGTGGCTCAAGTTTCCACCAAAAGACACACAAAACTCAGACTGTTCCCAGTCTTTCCCCAAAGGAAATAACTCACCTGAAACACAGTGGGAAAGTTCATGCCTGAAGGCAGTCTTGACAATACTAGGTTTTAGTGAGAGAAGTTTGGATTGTATGAAGATATAGCCTAGACTGTATGTTTTCCAGTGTGCAAGAAATTATTAGGGAGCCCTCCTTAGGTAAGCATAAATACCAAACATTCATCTCAGAAGTTCCCTCATAGTGACTGTAATTCCATAGGTTAGTTTGTATACAAGGGCATTGTTACAAATATTAGAAAAACAAGCCACCATTAGAATTTAACAGTTGGATGATCATGGAAAGGGAACACTAAAGCCATGTCATTCAAGGTTAACTACCCAAAGCAACACCTCCCTATGAAGAAATATGAGCCTTCACACTGTTTGGGGTAGGTTTTATTACAACCATCCAGTCAGTCACCAAATAAGTTAATAGTAAGCCTTTCTTTCTTTCTTTCTTTCTTTCTTTCTTTCTTTCTTTCTTTCTTTCTTTCTTTCTTTTGTTTTTTTGAGATAGGGTTTCTCTGTGTAGCCATGGCTGTCCTGGAACTCTCTGTGGACCAGGCTGGCCTGGAAGTCACAGAGATCCGCCTGCCTCTGCTTCCCTGAGCTCTGGGGTCAAAGGCATGTGCTACCACTGCCCAGCGAGTAGATATTGAATGTAGATTTGATGGTCTGTGTCTGTGATCTTAGTACTTGGGAGGCTGAATGCAGAAGAATGCAGAGTTCAAGGCCAGCTTGAGTTACATAGCAAGCCCTTTCTCAAAAAATCAAGGACAGAGCTAGAATGCTGCCTCTCCTCCAACAAATAAAAGTCCTGGATAGGGGACACTAGGGCACTAAGATGTATTATCTGACATGTCCAAAACATTAAAGAAAAAAACCTATGAGATATGCAAAGAAACTGGAAAGTCTGATCCATACAGGGGAGGAGGAGATGACTGTGGGAAAGCTAGCTACAGGTGTGAGGGTGAACAGGGGTCAAGTTAACGAAAGGCTTTAGGGGAGATTATGAAGTCCATAAATGGCTTGCCACGAAAGTATGACGGTCTGAGTTTTGATGTTGACCACACATGTGAAAGCTGTGCTGGAGGGTGGAGACAGATCTCTGGAGCTTGCTGGCCAGCCGGTCCAACTGAGTCATTGAGCTCCAGACTCAGTGAGAGACTGTGTCACAAAAAATAAGGTGGCGAGTAATAAGGGGAGACATTCTGGAGTCTACATGTCCATGTGCACCTGTGCACCGCACATGTCTACACACACACAAGATTTAGCCATTATAAATGCATTTCTAGAACTTAAGGGAAGCACAAAGTAGTAAGGGAAGGTACCACAGTACTGCCAAATCAAATGGAAGTCACTAAAGAGAGGGATCACAAAAGAGAACCACATGAAAGCTCTAGAGTTGAAAAGTACAATAGCTGGAATAAAATACTCCCCCAGTTACAAATTTGAACTATCAGCAGAAAGAAAGAAAAAAGACATTGGTAGTGGTGGCAGATGACTTTAATCCTCGAACTGGAGAGGCAGGGGCAGGTGGACCTCTGAGAGTTCCAGGCCAGCCTGGTCCACAAAGTGAGTCTAGGACAGCCAAGGCCACACAGAAACTTGTTTCAAAAAGGGGGTGGGAGAGGTGGACAGATGGCTCAGCGGTTAAGAGCTCTTCCCAGAGTCCTGAGTTCAATTCCCAGCAACCACATGATGGCTCCCAACCATCTATAGTGAGATCTGGTGCCCTCTACTGGCATGCAGGTGTGCAGATAGAGCACTCCTACATAAATTAAATAAATAACTAAATCTTTTTTTAAAGAGTGTGAGTCACACCAAGTTATCCTCTATCCTTCATACAAATATACATATGTACCAATGTGTACACACACACAAAATAAGTAAATGTTAAAGGACTCACAGTGCTGGGTGTTTTTGTTACTTTATGTTTTTGAGTGTTTTCTCATGCAGATATGTATGTGCACCACCTATGACCCTTGGAGGTCAGAAGAGGGTAGAGATATGTAGATCTTGGAGTTTTGCTGGCCATCCAGGTTCAGTGAGAGATTCCATCTCGAAAACTAAAGTGAAGCATAAGGGGCATGTTGACTTTTGCACTTGCCTTTGGTCAGTGCACTGACACACAGGCGTACATACACACTGTGCCACACACACATTGAGAAATAGACGCATTTGAAATGTCAAGCTTTTGTGCCTCAAAGGACAGAATTAAGTGAAGAGAAAAAGTAGCAAACCACAGAGCTGATAAGAGTTCGCCATGATTGTTGATCGTTGTCAATTTGATTGGCTTTAGAATCACCAGAGAAACATATCTGAAGAGCCTTTAATCCCAGCAGTCACAGAGGCAAGTGGATCTCTGTGAGTTTAAGGCCAGTCTGGTCTACAGGGCAGCCAAAGTTACATATTGAGACTGTGTCTAACTTCCCCCACCCCCACAAAATATTAAAGGCATGTGCCCCCACTGCACAGCTTTTGTCAGATATTTTATCCCAGCAACAAGAAAACTAACTCAGATTTACATCTAAAGCTTAATAAATCTTCTAATTCAACAATCAA